TTACTGGGGTAATGGGGGTAGGTGGGTCAGAGACAGTAATATTGGCAGGGAATAGAGCAGGGTTTAGGGCTGTTGTACACAGGGTTGCTGTGAATCACAGGCAGCTCGACGGCACATGACAGCAACAACATGTGTGAGAGAGAGAGATAGGAAAATATTTAAACCATCTATATGCATTGATGCGGAAACCCATACTAGGGAAATGAGCAGAGCAACTTCCCTTGCATTCCTTTCATACCGTCAAATGGAAAATACACCTTCTGAAATAGGTTCCTTGTGTTGCAGGGGTCACTGACGTTGGACGATGTGACCGTGAGGTTCACCTGGGAGGAGTGGCAGCTCCTGGCCCCTGCTCAGAAAGCCCTGTACCGGGAGGTGATGCTGGAGACCCACAGTCACCTGGTGTCCATCGGTGAGGACACTCTGCTGCTGCCTTTTCATTTCTCAGGTGTGAAAAGCATTGGGGTGTCTGGGGGGCTTAGAAGTGACAGATTCTCAGTCCACTAAAGTTCTATGTAAATAATATTCTTTCTACTCTTGAAAGAAAAATCTTTACCGTGTATATGTGAATTTGTTTTTTTTCTCTTTTCCTCTACAAACAAACATTTTTCAGTATTCTTTACAAGCCAGGGTCTGTTGGGTGATTCTAAGATTCCCTGGTACCCCACACACAGGGTGTGACGTTAGCAGAGCAGATGCCCTCTCCACATTGAAGCGAGGAGAGCCACCGTGGCCTCTACTGGACAGAACCCAGGATGGAATGTCTTCAGGTGAGTGAGGAAAACGTTGTGGGTCGGGAAGGCTGTGGAAGACACGTTCCAGTGAGAGAAGGCGTCACATTTGTGAAGTGACTGGGGACATGTCGAAATAGTGCTGTTCATCCTTCTTCCCTTGTGACTTCTTTTCTTTTCATGAATTTAGAAAAATAGGCTCCTCTTTGTCTTCCGAGATTTGTCCAGATAGAGCAGCATTTATGTTTTATCTTTTTTATTTTTTTTATTTTTATTGTATTATTTTTACGTGTACCGTCAAATCAGATCTGACTGGTACAGGAGGAGATTGCCCCTCCTTCTCCAGCAGAGCATCTGGTGAATTTGAACCATGTGCCTCTGGGATTGCAGTGCAGCGTCTTGCCACTAGGCCACCAGAGCTCCCTTATGTTTTATCTTTTAAAATGAGATTTCTTTTCCATTGGTCTACATTTTGGTATTTTTGAGTTCCATCATCTTCTTCCTAGTGTTCCCAAATCTTTCCATTCTTCCTATGCTTTTATCACACTATTGAAAATTTCACCTTCCTGATCTCTCTCAAGGGGAGAATTTTTACACGTATCCATAATGGCATCTTCCTCCCTGAAAATAAATGACCTAGACCAGCAGTGTGCAACCTCCACTGAGTTCCCAAGGCGTGAGAATCTCCATCACCATTGCCACCGTCTTCAGCACCAAGCTGATTCCTGTGAGCTGAGATAGGCCTTGGCGCCCACACCACACAGATGGTCCTGACCCTAATCGAACCTCTCACGGCACTCACTGCTTCTCCCTGGGTTTAGTAGTCATTGCCGTGGCCACGCTGAACTCAACGTTGGTGCGATTGTGGAAGTTACAAGTTGCAGGGGAGCACTGATGGCTTAGTGCATAAAGAACTGCACCACCAACCTAAAAGCAGGGTGTTTGAATCCACTAGCAGGCCTGTGGGAGAAAGATAGGCACTCTCC